ATATAAAAATCATAATCCCTTGTTGCCTTATATATTGTATATATATTATAAATAATCAAAAAAACCCCATAAAATTGAAGAGGATCATTATTTAAGAAATGATTGATAAGTAAGTACCTTTTTAAAAATTCCCAATACACATATTTGCACTAAGCTTCATATTGTGTATTCTAAAAAATATTTGAAGCCTCATCTAATAGGATGTGAAGTGAAGGAACAAACCGTGACAATATCTACGGGGAAGAGCGTTCCAAGTGGAAAAGAATTTCAGTTTAAATCTCTTAAATTTGCTTTTCTTTTAATTTGTAAAACAATGTTTTGCAAACCTGTATACTTTTGACTTCTATATTTTATTCCCATAGCTTGAACAGTATCAGTGTAGACTTAATTTGTATCTCGAGTGCTTTCCTTACCCCACACGTTCTTTATCTAGTAGGAAGCTGAGAGTAGGAGTAAAGAAGCAGAGTGTGAAATTAGAAGAGCACTGACCTAGGTTCGGATTCTGTCTCTGATGTGAGATCCTGAGTGGATCTCTTCTGATTCTGCTTCTTCCCAGGTAGATTCCCCCTGCCTGCGCTTAGTACAAATAAGACAGATAGAAGTTAGTGGATTGTGTATGGTTTGGGAGTTTGTGTTTTAGGACTTGGAAAATATTTCTCATCTTCAAGTCAATTAAATAGAACTAACATTGATATTATCCTAAAATTTAAACCATATTTAATATTTTATACCAAAGGATGAAAAATAAAATAATCCTTTGAAACCACTGGAAATTTCCTCCCTTTCTCTCTTTAATTTAACCCCAGGTCCTGAAGTAGGAGCATCCCCACAGAGTGGAAGGAAAAGTGTGGCAGCCGAAGGAGCCCTACTGCCCCAGACGCCCCCCTCCCCTCGGAACCTGATTCCACACGGACATAGGAAGTGCCACAGCTTGGGTTATAAGTCAGCATTTGTTGTCTTATCTTTCAGATTTTCAAGTTGTTTGTAGTTGGATTTATTGTCTGTTTACCTTATTAGTTAAATAGAAAAAATGTCCTTGCATAGTTTCTTTTTTTTTAAATAACAGCCTTTTTCTGATTCAGTAAAACATCTTGTCTGCCTAAAAGCATTTATTTCTTCCTTTACCTAAATTGTGAATTACCTGAAATGAGCTTTCCTCAACGATGTACTCATTTGGGAA